GGCAGGTTCAGAGCAGTGGTCCAGTATAACCCATTTGCTAGACCTCATCACATTGATATCCCAGCCAGCTCGCTCCCTTTATTCCAGGGAGACTTTATTCACATGGACTACTTGATGGCAGTGCATGTTTCATGGGTGATGGCCTCAACAGTCAGGCCACCTCTCAATCACCATTTTTTTATTGTGTCTTTCACAGTTACTGTCCTTATCTTGAATTTTTCAGGCTTTTTCATCCTATTTTCTCCCCCTGTCCTGTAGAGGAGGGGAGTGAAGGTATTTTGGTAGGCATGTGTCTGCTGGCCAAGGTTAACCCATCACAATCCTATTTTTTTGGCATCCAACATGGGGCACACAGATTTGAACCAGTAACTTCCTGATCTGCAGTCAAATGCTGCAGGCCTGAGTCAATCCAGGGCAACCCAAACCTCCTCCCTTTAAGACATTTCTTATAGCTGGAAAAGACTCTTATCAGGAGCAAAGATCAGGCTTGCCTCAGGTGACCTCACTGACTGAGTTTTTCAGTATAACTCTCAATAGAACAAAATTCAAAGCTGCTGAGAAATGCATGTGATTAGCACTTCTGCAGACAAGGACAAGGCAGCCTATCAAGGTGTTGAACATATTCAGTGAAACTTGGTTAAATAAATAATCTTTTACATCAACCTTTGCCCAATCAAAGTCCAGACTTACTTATAGGTACAGCCACAGGAGGGACAGCAAAAGACAATTCCTGTGAAGGCTGCTCCACACCGACATGCAGGTAAGAAATTCTTTTTTTTTTTTGCTAATTCCTCTTCCCATAGAAAACTTCCTTTTACAATCCAAGTAATTTTGCGTGTAAAGCTTTCATGGATTAAAAGGACTATAGGCAGTGCATTGTAACCTTCTTTACATTTCTAAATATGAAGAAATAATCTTTCTCATAAAAGCCTACTGTTTCTTTAGCTTTGTGTACCACTGGTTTTGCATGTTAACTTCAGAAATTAGCAGAGATCCCCAGTGTTTGTCAAGAAAACCTGTTTTGAGCTGTAGATGCAATCACTACAGTCTGATGTCCAAATAATGAGGCATTTCCATCCCTATATGGAGTTAGTCCCCACGCAGCTACGCAGAGACTCAGTAAAGCACAAAGGGAACAAGTGAATCATGATCTGCCAGCTTCCTATCCCCACGTGCTGAAATTCCATATATTGTCCAGCTTCAGTGACATCTGTGCCAACCCCCCACCACACATCCACACTGTTGTTCTATATGCTGCCCAGCTAGCCTCAACAATGCACTTCCAGCTTCAATAACATTCTGTAGCATGGGTAGCCACAGAGGAGGTTCTGCAGTAGGCTACTATCATGGAAGGATTTGATTGCCAGATACTCCTAAAAAAAAAAAATGGCCAGTTCCCACATATGTTAGTCACACAGGTGATATAAAGAGAAGAAAAAACATGGAGTTGCAAAGACATCTTTACATGCAAACAGATACATTTTCTTAGTATTTATTAGGCTGTGATTAATGGCTAACCTCTGCAACAACTTTGGGCTTTTGATAGATTTCTGTCAGTAGAGAGAAGCAGAAAAAAAATATTTCCAGTAAAATACAAATCGGATTTGCTAATTATTTGGACTTTCCAACTAGGGGAACTTGCCTTCATTTGTCTTGTTCCTCTATCATCACAGATTTTTGGCAGTTCTTAAGACAACTATCTTTGGAGTTGTTCCTTGGTCACAACTACTGCTTAATTTCAGTACATGGTATTCCTGCAAATTATATCCATCACCCAAATGGGAGTTTCATCATATCATAAAAGCATAGATGAGTTTAGACTGGAAGGGACTCCTGGAGGTCGTCTGGTCCAATGACCCATACAAAACAGGGCAAACTTAGATTGTGTTGCTCAGAGCCCCATCCAGGTAATCTCCAAGGACAGAGATTCTGCAGTCTCTCTGGGCACCTGTTCCAGTACCTGGCAGCCCCCAAGATGAAAAGCTGTCTTTATGGCTACTTGGAATTTCCCTTGCTGCAGCTTGTGTCTCTTGCCTGTTATCCTGCCACCGTTAACTTCCAAGAAGAGTCTGGCTCTGTGTTCTCTACACAACCCAGGTTAGGCAGTTGAAGACATCAGTAAGATCCTCCCTTTACTTTCTCTTCCCAGGACTGAATGAGCCCAGCTCTCCTTAATGTTTAAGTCCTCCTTAAACATTATGTGCTCCAAAACCTAAATCGCCTCAGTGGACTAGCTTCAATATGTCAGTTACGTGGGGAGCTCAAAACTGAAGATAGTACTCACACATGGTCTCATAAGTGCCAAACAGAGGGCAACAATCCCTTCCACTGATCTGCTGGCTATATTCTGATATCACCCAGTACACAGCTGACCTTCTTCACCACAAAGGTACACCACTGGCTCATGTTCATCTTGCGCTCTTGAGGGCTCTCAGTAACACTGCCTTCTGGCTAGCCAGCAGACACCCTGCATTGCTATGCATGGTTTAGATACAGATTTACATAGAGATGACACCAAGCTGAGTGTCATGCTTCAAAAGAAGCACGGCCAGTAGGTCGAGAGAGGTGATTCTCCCCCCATACTCCACTCTGGTGAAACCCCACCTGGAGTACTATGTCTAGCTCTGGAGTGTTCAGGACAGACACGGACCTGTTGGTGCAGATCCAGAGGAGGGCCACATAAATGATCAGAGGGCTGGAACACCTCTCCTATGGAGAAAGGCTGATAGAGTCAGGGTTGTTCAGCCTCAAAAAAAGAAAGCTCCACAGAGACCTTACTGCAGCCTTTCAGTGCCCTAAGGGGGCCTACAAGAACAATAGGAACACTATTTTTAGCAAGGGCTGTTGCAACAGGACAAGGACAAGGGGTGACAGTTTTAAACTAAAAGAGGACAGAATTAGACTAGATACACAGAGGAAATGTTATAAAATGAGGATGGTGAAACACTAGAACAGGTTGCTCAGAGAGGTGTTAGAAGCCTCATTCCTGGAGACATCCAAGGGCAGATCAGACAGGGCTCTCAGCAAACTGATCTAGTGCAAGATGTCCCTGTCCACTGCAGGGTATTGGACTAGATGACCTTTAAAGGTCCCTTCCAACTCAAACCATTCTATGATTCTATGGTTTTGGGGTTTTTTTCCACTTCTCTTTGTTGAACTTCATGAGGTTCCTGCCAGCCCATTTCTCCAGCCTGCTGAGTTCCCTCTAAATAGCAACCCTAACTTCCAGCCTATAGACTGATCCTCCTCAATTTGGTATCAACTCTCAGGTTGTTGAGGACGTATTCTGTCTCACTGTCCCCATAAATAAAAATGTTGAATGATATCATTCCCAGTATGAACTCTAAAGAATGACCCTAATGACCAGCCAACAGCTGGATTATATACCACTGATCCTCTCAACCTAGTGGCCCAGCCAATTTTCTGCATCATCTAGTAGTCTGCCTATCCAGTACATATGTCACTAAATTGGCCACACTGACTGTACCAGAAACTACATGAAAGTCACTGCAAAAGTTGTAAACAGCAGCCACTGCTCTCTGCCCATCACAGCACCAGTCCATTCGTCATGTAAAGTTATCAGGTCCATCCGGTATCATAAAAATCAGTAAATCCATACTGTCTGATCCCAAATACCTTCCTGTTCTTGGCAAACATCCCTTGACAAAGCTTCTAGGAGGATTTGCTACAAAACCACCAGAGGACAAAGGTCATTGCCTGATAGAAATCTGGGAGCAATTCCCAGCATCAAGTATACTCTTCAACTAGCTGGCCTCAAATTCTCTGAAGTAACACAGCAGCCTGGAGACACAGACTGGGAATTCTGCTCCAGTTGTCACAAGTTCATTACAAAACCATTTGAATCAAAGTACTGCAGTTACTTCAGCAGTCTGTCATTTCTACACCAAATTTCATTCCTTTCTTTTCTCACACAATGTCACATTTTTATACTGATTATATCTCATCCCATTGTTAAAGTCATCAGTGTTGGAAACAAAGTCAGGCAGCAAATTGAGCCTTTATGGTAATTTCAGGATTCATGTGAGAATTGCAAGTTCAGCATACTGACTCCACTCCTCTGTTTGGTTCCTCACAGACCAGACAGTATTAAATTATCTCTCCTGCAATGATTACCTGTTAGCACATTCACATTATCAGTAGGTGTATGCCTGAGTATTCCACACTATTGTTAGACCTCAAAATACCCACATTCATATCTAACCCAAGTCTCACACACAATGATAAACAAAAGTGCAATAGCTCTGTTAACTCCTCTTCATAACAGAATCAAGGAGTGTTTAATAAAGATCCAGAGGCAGAAGAAAACATGGACAGCTACAAGAACTTTGACTCTACCAGTAACTTATAAAGGACAAAGAAATAAATCAAGTGCACCATTTGGGATGAAAATTGAGACGCAGAGATTTCAAACCCAGATAGAAGAAGAAAAGGTTTTTAATTGGAGATAAGGGTCCCCCTAATTCCTTTATAGTCCTTACTTTCCACCCTCCAGTGCAAACCCTGCACTCATTAACAATAACACTGCAGTTACAATATATTGTCCTGAAACTTAATTTTGTGTAGGTAAAAGGAGCAAGAACAGGAAAGCCTGGTTGGGACAATGTGATCCTTGATCCCACCTGTTTGCCAGTCTCCATGGGTTACCTAGAAGAGTTGTAGAGTCTCTATCCTTGGAGATATTCATAGGGCTGAGAGAGCTGGGATTGTTCAGCCTGGAGAAGCAAAGGCTCAGGGGAAACAGCAATGTACAAAAATATCTGAAGGGGAGAGTGCAAAGAAGGCAAAGCCAGGCTCTTTTCAGTGGTGCCCAGTGACAGGACAAGGGGCCATGGGCACAAACTGGAAGCACACAGGAAGCTCCACCTGAATGTACGGACACTTTTTTACTATGAGAGTGACTGAGCCCTGGCATAGTTTGTCCACAGAGGTAATGGAACCTCCCTCCTTGGAGACATTCAAAGGCTGTCTGGACTTCGTCCTGAGGAACTGGCCCTACATGGCCCTGCCTGAGCTGGGAGGTTGGACCAAAGCACCTCCAGGGGTCCCTTCCACCCCTGAGCATTCTGCAACTCTGTGAAATCCCATTTTGTCACATCACTACACTACAGTGTTCCAGCATTTTTGTGCTGCCATTATTTCTCCTCTGCAAGATTTAATTCTGGTATTAAATCTTCACCTCAATTTCCACTGCTACCACAGCCAGACAATTTCTTTCTTCCAGTTCTGCATCTTGCTTAACTTCATTTGAAATAAGGAGACAAGAAAAGCAAGGATAGAGAGGGAAAAGGGATTGGTTTCTTCTCCCTAGCCTTGTTAACTAGCTTCAACTTTGCACAGCTGGATTTCCTGGGGAAAAAAAAAGTACAAGAATTCTGAAGCATGCTGTCTGAATATGTATTTCAAAGCAACATATCTAGGTAAGCTTACTGGTTTTACTTACACATATCTTTTCCATCCTGTCAGGTAGAGATGATTTCTGTTCTCCAGCCTCGAGAATGTAAAGTGACCAAAAAGCCCCCAGAGAACTACGGGTTCTACCTGCGTATTGAGGAAGACACAGCAGGGCACCTCATCCGGAATGTGAAAAAGAACAGTCCAGCAGAAAAAGCTGGCTTGAAGGATGGAGACAGAGTCCTCAGGGTTAATGGTGTGTTTGTAGACAAGGAGGAACATGCACAGGTACAGCTCTCTTTAGTTTGGGTTCCACACCACTCTCCTGTTACCCAGACCCACTGCCACTGTGTGAAGCTTTCTCTTCCAGTTTTTATGTCATTTTCAGCTAGGAAATCCAAGATCCAACTACTCTAAATATCTCCCTGAATAATTTATTATCCAACAGTAGAAACAGTAGACTGTGCAGCCCCTCGTGGGGCAAGCTTTTAGATCAATCACTCTAGCACCTGCTTGTCATTTCATCTTGTCCACTGCAGGTAGTGGAGATTGTCAAAAACAGCGGGAACTCTGTTGTACTTCTTGTTCTGGATGACATATCTTATCAAAAGGCAGAAAAGGAGGGAGTGAACTTGGAAGAGCTGGGCCAAAAGGTGTCCACAGGACAGCAGCAGGAACGGCAGTGCCCACCACCCATGGCTAACGGAGCAATCACTGCAGCTCCGCAACCCCGGCTCTGCTACCTAGTGAAGGAGGAGAAAGGCTATGGCTTCTCTCTGAAAACCACAGAAGGTGAGTCTGGGGAGAAGAAATGGTGTGTGTGTATATATATATGTGGCAACCGGAACAGAGGCAACCACAGTTAAAACCACAGTTAATACATGGAGCCCAATGGGGGCACACAAACTGCTCTTGCTAACAGAAAGCGAGCGAGAAACAGCAAGATGAGTTCAGCTCCATCTCGAGTCTGTTTCTGTTGCCCCATATGCAGTGCACAGTTTTCTGAGGAACACTTTTCTTATGGGGTGGAGAAAAGATGGGAAAAAAAGCCCAGGAGGTAAAAAGAATACACTATTTTCTGCCTGTTATTTAAGTCCACGTTAGTAACTGCAGAAAACTTCAGTTTTGCCCACTGCAAAACCAATTTTGGAGTCCCTGCGCAAATACCAGATACACAATCAAGATGCTACCTTAAGTCCTGTTCCATTCCTCCGAAACACTTCAGGAATCAGCACACAAGGTTCTATACAACTGCAATAAACATTTCCTGATTTACAAGTTATTTAATTTAGAAAGCACAGGATTTTGAACCTCTTCTACACACATCTTCCTTCCAAGGCCAGTGAACAGATTAGGGAAGTCTTCAGGAAGCATCGCCTCCAAAGAGGGTATTTTGGAATGTAATACAACTAAAAGACCAAATTTCAAACACATGAAATTATGAAATATATAAAAAAAAAATAAAATAAAACAATAAAAGCAGCTCCACATTTCAAATTGGAGGAGCAGGAGTGGGGCTGGAATTAAATCCATTTCAGCTGTCTTAATTGGCTCCTTTGGCAGTCTTGGTAGAGGGTAAAACAAAAGTTTCAGGTGCAGACAGTGAACAAATGCCTCCCTCCCACACAAAGTGATTTAGAGGTGTGTCTATGTGGAAGGTCTGTTCTGCCACTGTAATCTGCACATAAGCAGAGACTGAGTCTCTACAGACATCAGTGCCGAAGTTTCCTCAACCATTAAATTCAGGCATATTTCAGTGACTTACCCTCTGTAATGAGTTTTCATTTATTTCAGGACAGAGGGGGTTGTTCATAGTAGAGCTTTCATCACAAGGAGCAGCTGCAAAGGCTGGTGTCCAAAATAACGATCGTCTGATTGAAATCAATGGGAAAAATGTGGAAAATGACACACATGAGGAAGTGGTGGAAAAGGTATTTGTTTGTATACTGATTCATCTTCTGTTCTGGCCCACTTTCACACCAAGCTATCAGGGTTACTAAGGAAGCAGGTCTGGCTGACTTGAATGCTTCACAGTAAATCTTGGAAGCTACTGTTTGTGTATTATCAACACAACACAGCGCCTCTCTGCTTTGGCTCTGTTGTCAAGCAGCCTCTTGAACTGACTCGGAATGAATACTGCCATCAAGACAGGCCAAAGAATTTTAAATAACAAGTATAAGTTATACATAGAAGTATAAGTTATACAAACAGTAGAAGTATACCGCTGCCAGGAACCCTATTAAATAAGTCATGCTCTGTTCCTAGAAGTGCTGGAAATACTCCTAAAGGTAAAAGGACAAGTCATCAAGTGTGGTTTCCAGGGCAGGGAAAGGGGGGTCTCTCTGACAGTATAGTTAGCATGGAACAGGGAAAATTCATTATTTTAGACAGTAGTTCCTTTCTCCTGTTAAGAAATCCAAAACTAATGAAAATTACTGTGCAAGTAATTTCACTACCTGGCTTCAGCTGCAAAGAACATGGCTTATGAGACTTGCAGCTTTCCACTACTGGCACTGCTAAAATGCAGCTGGAGCTGAAGAGCTTCCAGAGAGCGATGAGACAGGCAGCACATAGCCAGGCATGCCAGCATCCCAACCCAGTACATGCTACCAACTAGGGAACCGTGCAACACCTACGCTTTGTTGAGCTGCTGCAACATCAGCAGCACAGTGACAGTGGTTAGGTTGAGTAAAGAGGGCAACCATTAGACTAGAAAGGTGTAAGAGAAGGATGGACCTGCAGGGGTTCAATAGACAAACAAAAAATCCCCCAAAACCTCAGAATCAGTAATTCAGGGAGACAGAAGAGGACCAAGAGTGACAGAAACTTAACTCTCGCCACTGTAATCTAAAACAGTGGTATAGATGACATGATATCTCTATATTGTAGAGTTCCACACCTAGATAAGCCAAGCACTATCTGGTGAGGCTCACTGGATTCTGCTGGTACCGTATGCCACCCTCATGTCATTATACAGCCAATTCCCTAAAGGTCAGGAACACAGTATGAAATACAGGAATTTCCTCGTATATATGCTGGATCTTACATGCCTAAGATCTTGTCATGGTCCAGATTTGTGACTGGCAAATGAAAAAAAACATGCCGACTTATACTAGCATGGTCTACATCTTATGGCTCATTCAATCAACAGCACTCACACACCACTATGTATCAGTGCAGCAGCTACCACAGTATCTACAATTTCTACATGCTGTTGAAGAGGTGGCATCTGAGACTATACATCTACTATCACAGGTAAAGAAGTCTGAAAATCATGTTATGTTTCTACTTTCAAATGAAGAAACAGACCACTATTACACAAGCCAGAAGATGGTACTGAGCAAAGAGAATGCCAGCCTACGATTGCTTCCCCTCAAACCACGACACATTGAGATCCAGAAAGGAGAAAAAGGTTATGGCTTTTATCTACGGTTGGAACAAAATACTGGTGGTAAGAACACAGTTAACACACAGATCATAGCAATGGCTATAGTTCTTCCTGTACAAGGTTTGCAGATCTCATTTTCTTTGGCTTCTTACTGATCATCTAGAAGTCTTCTCTAGACGTGTTGCAAACAGGCTACAACAGAGAAATGATCCCAACCTGAAGTGAAATTCTGACGATTAGTCTTTGCCATGCATTTTAAAGTCTTTAAACTTACAAAGCATATGCCTTCACATTCATCTTTTTTTTCCCTTCTGATTTTAGATCATGTAATCAAGGATGTTGATTCTGGGAGCCCAGCAGCCAAGGCAGGTCTCAAAGACAATGACATCTTAGTAGCCGTCAATGGCGAGCAAGTGGATGGTTTGGATCATGAAAGCGTAGTGGGCAAAATTAAGCAGTCTGAGGCAAAAACCACACTGTTGGTAGTGGATAAGAAGACTGATGCCATGTATAAACTGGTAAGAAAAAGCAAACTACTCCTAAAAACTGATAGTTTATCATTATGAAGAGACATGCAGCAATGAAACAGCCAGCCTGCTGTGCCAGATTATTCTTCAGCTTGCAGGAAGTATCTCAAAGACAGCCATACTTCACCAGTTCTCATTGTGCTTGTACTACAAGTCACTAAACAACCAAATTTTTGGCCTCTTCCAGATTTTTATAGGGACTGTTGGAACAATTCTAAATTTAAACACACCACAAGAAACTTCAGAAGCTTAAGACAGCAAGTTCAGAGCTACATGGCCATGTAACCATTTATGAACAAGTAACAAAATTCCCTTCTCGCACAGATCAACACTGTATTCTTCTGCTCAGACAGAAACTAATAGCAAAGAGGTTTTCACTGTAGCTCAAGTCTGAGTCATTAAAAAGGTTTCAAACAACACATGTTGAGCATAAAAACCTAACACAGATTTCACAACAGGAGTTTTTATAGTAGCAAAGCTTTATCTGTCACTTTTTTCAGGCTCAAATTTCCCCCTTCTCATACTACTACAAAACACAAGATGCAGCTCAAGCTAAAATGGAGGA